TGTCCCCAGGTCCCTTCCAACCTGAATTTCCCTCTGATCCTGAACCATACCAGACTGTTCCTTCTTTTGAAGAACCTTTCCAGAGACACCAGCACACCCCTCCAGAGAGCAATTTCCTGATTTTTTGCAGGCCAAATGCCCCTCCGGTAAATCTGATATGGCCAAAGAAGATGGTCTTCAAGTCCCTTCCAACCCAAGTTATTTTACGATCCTATAGCACCTGGAGATGTCCCAAAACATGTTGAAATGAAAAAGCCATGACATAAAATTATTCTCAGGGGCAGTGGTTTGCTCCCCCATCAGGCAGCAAACATTTCTTTGCTCCATCCACTCTTGGAAAAGCCAAAAGGAACTTCAGCAGTGACCTCCACCACCACCAAATTCCCTCCTTGCATGGAGCCAGTTTGCAAAGAGAACACCCAAAAAATCCTCCCCATTTCCTGGTCACCCTCAGCCCCCTCTATTTCTTAGCCAAACTCTTCATTTACAAAGAGCAGTGGCTACAACAAAACAATTCTGGGTAACTCGGGGTCAGCGCTGCTATTTTTTGAGACGTTTCCTGTTCTTGCAGGATCTTGGTGTGTTGTGTCTCCATCACCTCCTGCATCCCCACCCTGTGTTTGATGGGTGTGTGGTGCCAGATTCAGGGTGGTATAAACAAGCAGATCTCAGCTTGTTGAAGTAACTCTCACCCTTTTGTTTTCTTTGACCTGGGGGCTGCTTTTTTTGCGGTAAGAATAAAACAATCATTTCAGGGCAGAGGAAATTTTAATATCTCTCCTCCTAAAATAGCACTAGAGAAGAATGAAGATCTTCTAGCCTGAAGAACTTGGATAGATGGAGTAGGAGGCTTTTTATAGCCATCATCATTTATTACTTAATTTTCCCTCCCCAGGTAAAAGTGGAAAACTTTTCAAACGGCCTCATTTCATCCTTTCTCTTGCTATTCATAAATTTTTCAGGAAGAGCTCTGTAGACAGCAAGTCCATTCTCTGAATGAACATCCATTGCCTGGAGGGTGGACTCCTCTGAAACATTCATGGGATCCCATAAATGCAACAGGATCCCATAAATCTGAGCAAAAAGGAAGAAAAACAGTTCTTATGAAGCACAGCAAGGGACTACCTTGTTTGTTTACCATGCAAGCAGAGCACAATTCATGTTTTCTCTCCAAGAAATTGGAATTATTTCCTTAAAAGTGCTGTTAGAGTAAGAAAATATCTCCTTGATGCTACAGAGGGATAAGGAAAAAGCAAATTGAAAGCCCTGAAGCATGGATCCTTGGCTCTTAGGATACTGAAAATGGGATTTGTGAGTCATAAGCTTTTCTGTTTGGATTTATTTGGAGCTGCTGACTCTGGGGTTATTTCTGGGATTGCCCAGTTGAACACCAGGGGTGGAGACAGGGCTTCCTGAGGTTCCACCATCCTGGGAAGTCCTGCAGGATGGATCATGGATGGTTCCTTAGCGTGCACCACGACATCAAAGTCATCCCACAGCCCACACACCCAGCAGCCAACGTTTTTCATGGGGAAGGGTTGTGCAGGTCCTGGCAGCATGGATGTATAAATCTTTAAATAAAATTCAGCCTCCAGCCTCACTGAGCAACCATCAGCCCAGGGTGGGAAGTTTAGGCGTTCCTCATGGATAAGGGAATAAAGAACCTCTCCAGGTGCACACCTCAGGGTGAACAGCTAATTTTGGCCTCTCTGTGTGTACAACATTGTTTTCTCCAGCAGGGATTTGCTAAAAATAAACAACTATCCAGGGAAGAGGGTGTGCAGGCAGCTGTCTCCGTGGGGAGATGCCAATGCTGAGGTACCCAAGGTGAAAAGACAGCAAGGATCAGCCCTACCAGGTCACACGAGCAGGCTCAACCCAGAGCTGGTGTTTGCTTTTGGACAAGACCTAGCTCAGGAGGACCCAACAAGCAACACCAGCGCAGCTTTCCCCCTCTTTCCAAACCCCTCTTCCTCTCTTTGGGAATTGTTGTGGATTTCATTCAGCTCCTGCAGCCCTCAAAACGTGCAACAATAGTGGGATAGTGCAGCTCAGGAAGCTGAGGGCAGGAACAATAGCTGATCTCATGTTCTTTCCTCTTCCACCTCACCTCACTCCTTCTCCAGGAAGCCTGACCTCTCTGTTGGGTGTTTTCCAGGTTGTTGGCCTGATTTGTCATCCCAAGGGAAATAACAGGCTGCAGGCCACAGCAGCAGTGTGAAATATCTCCTTTTGTTGGCTGAAAGTGTTTTGGGGGAAAAATGTTCCTAAATCCCATCCTGTAGTGGGATAGTGCAGCTCAGGAAGCTGAGGGCAGGAACAATAGCTGATCTCATGTTCTTTCCTCTTCCACCTCACCTCACTCCTTCTCCAGGAAGCCTGACCTCTCTGTTGGGTGTTTTCCAGGTTGTTGGCCTGATTTGTCATCCCAAGGGAAATAACAGGCTGCAGGCCACAGCAGCGGTGTGAAATATCTCCTCTTGTTGGCTTGGTTGGAAAGAGTTTTGGAGGAAAAATGTTCCTAAATCCCATCCTCGGAATATCCCTTTTCCCTCTCCTCTGCCACCATAGCCTTGATGTGTTCCTGAGGCTTTGGAGTGCCCATGCAAGCTCATGGAGATGAAGAGGAGATGGAAGAGAGGAGATGGAAGGAGCCAACACAGAACCCAGATGTTGCAAGGAAAGGATGAGCTGTCAGGACATGTCTCCTTCCTTTTGTGGGTGTTGGATGTCGAGGGGGCTTGGGAAAGCCTTCTGGAAGCTGGTGGTTCATGGACTGGCATGGGACAACCAGCAGGAGCTCTGCAGGAGGCTGTCCACTCAGACAAGAGAAGCAGGAGGAAATCATTCCAGGATCCTTCTAGAAGGAAGCCAAGGGTTTTTAGAAATCCTATCCACTTTTGCTTCCAGGCCTTCAGCTCCCATTGCTGATGCTGCCTTAGCAAGCTCAAAGCGTGTCCAGAGGCTGAAAAACCAGGAAGAATTTGGGATCGGGATGGTGCCAGCTCCTTGTCAGCACAACCTGTGCCGTGGGGACTTGTCTGTACATGGAACCATCAGAATTTTATCATGGCCAGCTAAAACGCTTCCCAGTGGCTGCAGGTCAGCTGGGCCACGGCCCAGAATATTTATTTACCTTGTTTTTGCTCTGTGGCACTGAGCAAAGTCCAATTTGGTTTTTGGGAAAAAAAGGAAAGGATACTTTGGAATGTGTTCTCACCTGCACCAGGTTAAAAGTGAGATGGGAGTGAGAGCCCCTGAGTGCTCCCCATTGGGTTGGGGTCCTTTGGGAAGGGAAAAGGAACTTGGTCCAGGCAGCCCCGTGGCTCCATCACACCCCAAAGCTGCAGATTTGGGGCTTTACGCTGCTCTTGGCAAATACTGGTGTAATTAAAATAAGATGCAGACAAGGGGTCTTATCCCACTCTCCACCAGGATTGAGGAGCTGGGGGGATTAACGGGGCTGGACACAGCGCAGGGAGCTCGTCACAGATTAGCACTGGGGGATGGGGATTAACGTTCTGAGGGGGAATGAGAGCCTTCACAGCAAATTCAGCTTGCCTTAATGCTTACTCAACATCTAGTCCTTCCCCCAAGGGTAGGTGAATGCAGGAGGAGCGGGATGTGCTCCCTCAGCTGAGGGATGTGTGATGAATGGCTTTCCAGCCATGTCCCCCTCCAAGCCTGGCTCCAGATCCTTCCCTGCATTGTGATGACCTCAGTCCTTTATAAATCCTTGCAGGCTTTCTGTGCAGGACCCAAAATCCCTGCTCCTGCTCCCTGGGAGCTGGGGGTGCTGACTCAGTTGTTTGCAATGGTGACACATCAGTAAAATAGGAGAAGACAATGGGGAAAAGGTGTCAGAGGCCAGGCCAGGCTGGGATCTCTGGGCAGAGCAGGATAAGGCAGAGGAGGCAAAACTCCTTTAATTTCTGCTCTGAAGAGAATAAAGGGTGTCTGTAAGGGTGGTCGTGCTGGTATTAGCACACAGAGAGGTCCTGGTTGGAAAGGGGGGGGTTATTTTTAGGATAACAAGAAAAGGACCATGTGGGGTGCTGGTGACACCCATGGGGTGTGCGAAGCTGGGGGGACACAGGGAGCCAGGGCATGTCTGTGTGCTGTAGGGTGTTTTGGGGACAACACTTTGGGAACACCAGGGTACATCACTCCGTGGAGATCCAGGACACATCCCTCAGGGCTCTGTGGGATGTTGGGGGTCTCCGTGTCCCCCTGCTCCTCGGGGCTCTGTGTCACTCCTCCTTGGGGCTTTTGTGTCACCCCTTATCGGGGGGCTCTGTGAAATCTCTCCCTAAGGGTCTCAGGGGGTCCCTTGTTCCCCTTCCCCGGGCCTCAGGGGTCCCTTGTCCCTCTCCCGGGCTCTCAGAGCCCCTTGTCCCCCCTCACGGGGTCTCAGGGTCCCTTGTCCCCCCTCACGGGGTCTCAGGGTCCCTTGTCCCCCCTCACGGGGTCTCAGGGTCCCTTGTCCCCCCTCACGGGGTCTCAGGGTCCCTTGTCCCCCCTCACGGGGTCTCAGGGTCCCTTGTCCCCCCTCACGGGGTCTCAGGGTCCCTTGTCCCCCCTCACGGGGTCTCAGGGTCCCTTGTCCCCCCTTCACGGGGACTCCCTGCCATCGGACGAGCCCAGGCCCCATCGCAGGGGGGAACATCAGCTGCGGTAGGGGCTGGACGCGCCCAAGAGCGAGCGGGGGGGCGTGAGGGGTGTGTGAGCAGGGGGCTGGACTTGGACGAGCCCATTCCTACCAGAGGGGCGAGCAACCTCATCCCCGATACGTTTGCTCCCAGATAGAGCCGATATCCAAGAATTCCCAACCGCATTTCCTGCGAGAGGAGATAAAATTCGGGATAAATCCTTCGCGACAGAAAAAGCTGGGAGCGGAGGGAGCGGTGCGGGTGTGCCATATCCTTTCCCCCCCGGGCCGAGTGGTGCGCGCGGCGCGGGGCGGGGCGCCGGCCCGCAGCGGCGGAGCCGCCCCGTCGCTCCGGCGCATCGCGGTCGCCATGGCGCTGTGCGGCCGCTCCGCGCTCCTCCCGCCGCCCCCGCGGCACCGGCCCCGGCCCCGAGCCCCGGGGCCCTTCGTCAGGTACCGGAGGGGCAGCGGGGAAGGCGAGGAGAGGGGTGACAGCCAGCGGCAGGGCTGCGCTGAAGGGGCTGTGGGGTGGGGAAGGGGTGTGCGGGGTCTGTTGGAGGGGCGGTGAGGGAGGGATGTGGAGAATTTTGATGAATTGAGAAGGAATTTGGTGTGCGAGAAGCTGAGCTTTTCACAGCTGTGGCGCTGCTCGTGGGGGAAATAGCGTTAAACGCCTGTTTGGGGGCGTTGGGGTGCGAGGCGCTGGAATGGAGGGGATGGGGAGGGGTTTTAAGCGGTGGGATGGGAACTTGAGGGGTTTGATGTGGTGAAAGTGGGGTGTTCACAGAGCTGATTTGGGGTACAATAGGGTTTTACACCTGATTGAAGGCGTTGGGGTGCTAAGGATGGGGGTGGGACAGAAGGGATGAGGCATCAAGGAAAGGTTTTCCTGCGTGGCACTGAGCTGTGGGGGGGTTGCCGTCAGATTTGGGACCATTAAGGCGGTTTTGGGGTGCTGGAACATCATGTGAGGTGCTGGCAACGAGAAGGAAAGGATTGCCCGTGCTGGGGACAGGTAGGTTTGGCAGGTGGGAGGTGCTGGTGGCCCTGCCAGGGTGGCAGACAGGAGCCTGCTGTGACCTTGTGGATGCAGGGATTGTCAGAGGAGGAATCCTGCTGGAGGAGGGCGAGTGGGAGGCTGCGGGGGCTCAGGAGCAGCAGCACAGCACGGGGGGCTTGTGTGCTCACAGGGGCTTTGGGGGTGTGTTTCTGTAGGGGATAAACCTAATTTGGGAGGGGTCAGCGTGGGCTTGCCAATAACAGAAAAAAAAAAAAGGCTTGTGAAAGGCAGGAAAAGTGAATTAGGGTAGGGGTAGCTGAGGTTTGGGAGGGGCTGAGAGAAAGAAGAGGCTGTGTTTGTGTGGGTGCCTGCTGGGAGGGTTTGTGGGTACAAAGGTAATAAAATTTCCTGAGCTTTGAAAATATGTTGGGTAGGGCTTGACAGGAGCTGGGGTGTGGGGACAGGTGAGATGGTGGCACTGGCTCTGTGGGAGCTCAGGTGTCAGCTCAGGTATCCTTGGGTTGCCAGAGCCCTGTTTCCTTTTGGAGACTTAAGGTGCACCCATGTGTGTGATGCTGCAGCCCATTTCCTAAAGGGTTTGAATAGAGCAAACGGCCTCAAGGTGTGCCAGGAGAGGTTTAGGTTGGGTGTTAAGAAACATTTCTCTGATTGTCCGATTGTCCAGCACTGGAACAGGCTGCCCAAGGCAGTGGTGGAGTCTCCAGGTATAGAAAAGGCATTTAAAAACCATTTTTGTGGTGCTTAGTTGAGCTTTAATGGTGGCTTTGGCAGCGCTGCGGTAACAGTTGGACTCGATGGTCTTGGGAAGCTTTTCCAACCAAAATGATTCTGTGATTCTGTTTTATGGTGCCACAAAGGACAACCCAGGAACTGAAGTGCTTGATGCTTTCAATAGTTGCAGCACAATACGTGGAAGTATTCAGCAGTGGGAAGCCAGATAATCAGGGAAGGGAGAACCTTGCACGTGAATCGCAGACAAACACTTGGCCAAGCTGCCTGCCTCTGTGCTTGCTGGAGATTTTCAATTAAAAAACAAACAAACACCAAAACCAAACAGCTTTTTATCTTAAGTACAAGAAGGGAACAAAAGAATTTTCACTTTTTGGATGATTTGCCAGTGAAATGAGGAATTCTTCAGTGAGAAAAAGAGAGAAATGGGGGTTGTTCTCCTTGTTTAAAACACATGAGCACGGCTGGTTATGTTCCCTCTCTCCCCTTCTGAATTGAAAATAAGACAGAAAAAAAAGTGACCTTTCCAAATATTTTTTTAAACTGAATAAATTAATCTTAATTATTTAGAAAGAGCTTGGTATTTCTTTAGAGCTGTAAAGTATCTAAAAATTCATGATGGGTAACGAAATGCCAAGATGGTTTAAAAAAAAAATGCTGAAAGAGAAAATGGTTTCCACTCAAGCCTTCCTCTTCCTGAGTGATTTTTGTAATCTGAGACCCTGTTTTAGAGTTGTCATGAGAACATTCAGCCTCTCTGAACATCTGCAAGCTTTTGAGCTCCACTGGGAGATGCAGCCAGCAACTGTAATTTGGTGCATTTGTAGGAGCCATGTCATCTGTTAATTTTTTTTTCATTCTTGTGCAGTTCTTTTTTAAATTTTTTTAATTGTCAGGCCAGATGGAGGCCAGTGTCTGCAATAAATTTCCTAGGCAGTCAGCAGATAGCAGGCAGTTAATAAAAATAACTTAAAACAAAACAATCTGTTACCCTCCCCCCCCACTCCGCCCCCGAGTTCCCAAACAGGAATGGAAAAATTCTTCAGACTATATAAAGACTAGAGAAAGGGCCAGAGATAATTCTTGGAGTTCTTCCACATACTTGAGAGTTTTGGTCTGCCATGGGGCACCTTGGGAGCTGGGGACCCTCAGCATTGTAACAAGTAAAGAATGGGTTTGGAAATAGAAAGAAAAAATCCCTTAAGGAAGAGAGGAGTGCTGCCCAAAAAAGGGGAAGTCTTTTTGGGAGGTGATGTCATCTTTCATGTGCCTGTGTTTGGTGTTTTCTTTGTGAATAAAAGCATTTCTGAACAAAATCCCTATGAAGTGCTTGTTTTAAATATCTGCATCAGAAAAATCGATGCAGATTTGTTCTATTTCACAGCCCCTACCCAATCTGAATTACCTTTATGTAAAACAGAGTAAGCAAATCCTCATTATTCATTATCCATGTGGTAACATAATACAGATGAGTTCTCACCATGTGTCCATGTGGGGAAATGCAAAATGAGTCATTGGGTTAATTTTTCTGTTGTCTCTTCCTCTGTGCTTTGCATTTTCCTGCTCTAACTGTTCTGTTGTTAATCACATCGTGGTTAAATATGTGGCTTTTTTTTTTTGTTTTTTCCATGAACAGGGTATTTGAGAGCACGGGACCAAAGAGTTGTTGTGGTTTCCCAACCAGTTTTTGCAGGGGACATGTCTGTGATGAAAGATGAAGAAATTTTTCTGTGCCTTTGTGTTCCTTATGTAATTGTGCTGAGGTTCAGGATTTTGTAAGAGCACAGTTGCACTGGAATTATTATTTCATTTTTTTTTAAGGAATATTCTGTGTTTTAGCAATGCAAAGAGAGAGCTGATTTAACTTGAAGTACAGGGGGAAAAAAAAGAGAAACAACCCCCATTCCTTGAATATGGATGGTTTTCTGCCACCTTGGGGAAATAAGAATGCTCAGGGTTTGCTACAGTGAGAACTGAGGGGTGTGGAACCATCTGATTGATGGGAATAAAGAGGCAGAAAGGAAATCTACCTCGAGGAGGAGCAGAGCTATGGTGTGGACCTTTCAGCTGGAATTCTCCCTTTGTGATCATCTCAGCATCTGATTTGGGGCTTTGTGGCCACCTGGCTGCAGAGGTTTTGGCCCAGGAATGAGCCCTGAAGGTGAATTTAGTCTTGAGGCACCGAAAATCAGCTTTGATTTCTGCCCTGTCCTTTTAATGATGGCAGAATAATCACCCTCGAGCTGCTGCTCTTTGTGACTTTTTCAATTCTTGTCATTTTCTCAGCTGATAATATTTTGGGTAGGGAATAATTGATGCCCTCCATAATGTGCTGCAACATAAGAAAATGAAAATACAGACATGGTTTTTATAAATCAGCCTGTTAAAGAGAGAGAACAGCAAGGCTGAGGGTCTGACTGATGGGCAACCCATCATTTATAAATATCCTCAGAAAGTCTGTGATTGTGCAGAATGACATCAGGCAGTTCCAGATGTTTAGTAAGGAGAGATTCAGGCTTGTTCCTATGTGCTTTGAGGTCTCTGGATTACAGAATTGAATATTCCTGTCCACTTAAGGTCAAGATTTAGTCCTGAAAATGCACACAGAGTTAAAATTTATTTATCTATGTCCATTGTTTTCTCACTGTTCCTAAAAAATGACTTGACCTCCTATTTATAATCAAGATCCCTATGCTGACTGTAGAGAAATTTGCAAAATAGGTGGAAAATTGACATCTGTCTTAAGGTGGGTGAATGTTGTCTTTTATGAGTGCCAAACAGTGAAAGAGATATTTTGAAATCAATGAAATTCTGAGAGTCTTTAGCTCAGTCTGACTTCTGGTGTCTGTTTTCACAGCTACAGTAAGGTGGGGATAATGTCAGACTGTGGGAAATGCAGGAAAATCCTGGATTCTTAATACAAGCAAACATTTCTGATAGAAATCATGAGGTCAACAAAAAAACCCAAGAAATATAAACTCGATTTTTTGGGGACTAAAATGGAAACAGATGCTCACAACAGTGAGTTAACAAGAAGTGAGACTTGGGAAAAAAAAACAAAACCCTCTGTGATTTTTCATTCTATTTAATTTATTTATTTATGGCTTATTTATTTATTTAATCAGGCTGTTAATGGTAAAACCATTGACTTTGGTAGGCAGCACGGATCTGTTCAAGGTGAGGATTTTTCCTAATGTGGAGATATTTCTGATTTTTCCCTGCCATCCATCCATCCAGCCTTGGCCACGTGCAGGTTTTTAGGGCTGCCAAGCCTTTGTGGGGGAGGAACAAAACATCTGCCAAGATGAGGAGAAACACACGGGAAACAGCAAAATGCCAGCTTTTGTCAGCTGAATTGGGCACAACTGAACACACCTGCAGCCCTGCCAGGCTGGGGGAATCCTCTGGGAATTGGGAATCCTCTGGGAATTGGGAATCCACCCCTGCCAGGCTGGGGGAATCCATTGGGAATTGGGAATCCACTGGAAATCCCAATTTGGGGATTCTCAGCTTCTTTTTCCTGCCCCTGTCAAGGTTGGGATTGAAGGCACTTGAGATGACATTTTTAGATTTATTATTTCTTATTTATATTACAATTTGTGAGTTCTGCAGCATTCTACTAACAAGGCATAAAATGGCAAACTGTCCTTTAGTACGAGGTCTTTTAAGGCTAAACTGTCCAATTAAGAAATGACACCTAAAT